AAAGAAGAGTTACACCATGTACAGCAAGTGAAAGAAAGTCTCTGTGTGTGTTTTTGCAGAAGTTGAGGGTTTTCTCTGCTGCTTCCAGGAGTGAAAGCTGTGCCTTTAATACTCATTGAGAGAGGTGAGTTTGGAGGGCTGATTATTCATCATTTGGACCTTTTTGTGTGCCTCTGTGTGACAATGTAATTTAGTGATCATTTACCTTTGCCATAGGGGTTTTGTTGGGGGTTTTTTTCCTAGTGCATGCAGCCAACTTCTTCCTGTTTCTTTTTTATGTGATTATTATTATGAAAACCACTGTTGTTTCTTCTGCATCTGATTCTGGTGGATTGATGGCACTGTTTCTTTTAGGATTTCCTACATTTTGGGGGGGAGGGTGTGTGGATGTGACTTGCAAGTGTGACTTGATTTTGTGTGTGTTGTGTGTTTAACCTAAAGTCACTGTTTAAAGACTCCAAAGTGTTTCCTTTTTTGAGTAAGGTTTATTATTACAGAGTTTTGAACCCCTGGTTGGTTATTAGAGGCAGAAATTGTGTTAGTTTCAGACTTATTTCTGTGAATGAGGGGAAGATTTGTTTGGGGGGGTTCTTGTTTTTGTTTAGTTGGCCTTTGTTTGATCTGTGCAGGGGGTGTTTGAGAAGTTTGAGTAGGAGTTTCTGAAATGCTTGTCTTGGCTTTAAGATGCTCTTATTTTTTTAATTATTATTATTAAAATGCTGGGGGGGGGGAAATGTAAGGTATTTACACTGTAGAGAGTGTGGAGTTTGCACACCCCAGTGTGGGGGAGGGGAATCCCATTCATCTCCAGTGTTTGAATCAGCAAGCACACAGGAGTTGATCACTCCACTCCAGTAAATCGAAGTTGAGCTCCAAGTAGGTAAACAAGTTAATTCCCCCCCCAATGATTTACAAGGCTGTCATCTAGCTTAAAAGCACGCCTTTAAGGAACTTGATGGAACAACGCTGGTGTTGTGGAAAAAAATATTCAGTGTGACTGATATTAAATGCAGAGCACTGCAGTGTTTGCACGAAAACAAAATTGCAAACCTGTTGCATGTGTTATTGAGGCAAAAAAATATTAAGGGTTTTGTCATTTGGCAATGCCACTTGAAGACAGTAAGATGTTACTACCAAACTAATATGCCCACTGTTGATACTTAACATAACCAGAAACTAGCACTTTCCTCTCAACTATAGTAATCTTCTTGATTCTGCTCCCTATTTTGTGGTGCTATTTTAATCTCAGCAGTTGGCCTAATATTTTGGTTTAATAGGGTGTGAGGTCAAGTATTGTTCCAATATCATGTTATGCTAATGACCCTTGGCCTATTTAATTACATGTTGAATTCTTAAGTAGGCATATTGCACAACACAAAAACCACACCCTAAAAGTTTGACTTTTAGTAGATATTTATTTCTCCAAGTCAGCATTAATATTTAATTCATATTATATTACAAGATCTGTTGCCATCCTGCAGAAGGGTTTGGTATTATTGGTATGGTCATTTTCTTTTCTGACATGCAACTCACTTTTAAAGCTGGAGGCATAGAGGGAAGTAATCTATTTATAGGGCCACTTGCAATACTCAAAGAAAAGAAAAAAGAAAAAAAATATTAGTGTAATATACTAGAAGTTTAACCTTCTTTTCATTCCTCCAAAAATATCATTCTTCTGACAGATTGTGAACATAATGAAGATTGTGCTTAATATCAAATTTTCTCTATTGCTATTTTAATCTAACAGTATTAAAAATAAAGTTATTTTTGGTGTTCCTATGGGAAAACTGAAGACAGGTAACAAATGCAGGTCTTTCCCTGTGCCAGCTGTAATATCACATCTTTCTTCTTTGACCTATTTATTAGTGAGCCTTTAACTGAGACTGCTCACACAGCATATACAAGACTTAACGCAGTAAACCTCGCTTACCACATGACTGCCCATGGTAGATTTAGGCCTCGAGCTATGTGGGCAACATGTTCTCAAATCTGAAGGCATTTCATATTTTCAAAATAAATAATAGTTTGTTTCTATGTTATGAAACATCATTGGAGCCAGAGTAGGATTCAGATTTCTTTGAACAGTGACAGTTAATTGCAACATCACAAATGCCATGATTTTCAAACAGGAAACCTTTCCCACGGTGGGTCTGGTACATGAGCTGGAGTGGAAAAGAAGGGGGAGGAGGGAGGGAAATAGAGAATCTATCACATCAAAAATGCATTAAAGCTTTCTTAGGCTACATTCAATAATGGTAAAAGTGGCAGGGATTTAAACAGAGCTACTGTATGCATCTCACTTTAAGTCCTTCACAGGGCTAAAGAACAACCAGTCCTCTTATAAGATTAAAAAGTCTGTCTGGGAACTAAAGAGGATACATAATTATATATGCATGTAAACATTGGCAGCTACACAGCTGTCCAAGTGCCCTTAGGACAAAAATTCTCTGAAAGTTGTCTTCTGAATTCACCCCGACCTCCTCTTGCCTAAATAAGTTAACTTTCATAGCCTACATTTGTCTTAATATTGGGACTTCTTCTTATTGGAAAGACCATATGTCCCCTTAAGACTTTCTTAAGTTTAGGATTTTTATATTTTTTAATAT